AAAAAAAAAAAAAATACCTAGACTTTGTTAGTAGGTAATCTATCTGATAGCTATAATTCCATAGGGAAAATTTTCTGTTGCTCATGTGGATGATATGGAAAGGAAGTGATAAAGTATTTAGTAGCTTATTTTTAATCTTTGAAAACACTTAAATCTTGATATATAATAAAATAGCATTATGTTTTTGAAATTAGAAAATGTCTGTTTTATGTATGATCATTTATGACTCTTCTGAAATAAAATTTCTATATGTAGAGGCTGTTGGAAGCTGCTTGGGAGAAGTGGGTCCTATAGATTTTTCTACCATAGCTATACAACATAGTAAAGATACGTCTTATACCAAGGCCCTTGAGTTATTTGAAGATAAAGAACTTCAGTGGACCTTTATAATGCTTACCTATTTGAATAATACACTGGTAGAAGATAGGTGAGTATTTGCTGATTTCTTATATTTTATCATACTTAATCTGAGAATGATACTTCACATAAATTAATATTTTGAATAGTTAAAACTTTGTTCTGTGACTTTATATACTTTTTTTGATATCAGGTATTTTAATGAAAATTCTTGTATTTTTATTAAGTCACATAATCATTGACTCTACTATGTACTGGGCACTTGATATATATCAGCAAGGTCCCTATTAATTCTAGTGAGAGTTGATTAGACAAGTAAAGAATACATAAGAAGAATACCTGATGATGAAAACTAAGGGGAATACAAAGTGTATGTTTTAGGCACTTGTTAAAATCAGAGGTGCCATGTAAGCTAGGCTTTATTTTGGTCCTTTAAAAACAAACCACAGAGCAGAACTTTCATAGCCTAAAAAGTCTTAAGCTGATCCAGCAGGGTTTCCTATTGCTCATTTATTCTCTGCAAAACAGAATTGCAACAGATACTACCAAAATTTCAACTTGTTGGTTGTGAGATTACTTTTGTGTATCTTATTGATTGATTATTGAAATATTTGAGCACCTTATCACTACCATTTTGGGGAGATATATGCAATTTTTTTCCCATAACCAGTCTGATTTCTAAGGTAAACATATGTTTTCTTTTTCCTCTACCCCCCTTTCTCCTTCTGTGTGTATCTACCATGTTTTCATTATTGATTTAGTACATCTATATGTTTTTCTCTTGTGTTGTTTTTGTTACAGTAAATAATCTAGCATGATTTCTTTCCCAGCATTTTATTAATAAATTCTTTCAGACATTCAGCAAAGAATTTATAGTAAATATCACATACTTAACATATCATTCTACCATTAACATTTTACTAGTATTCTTCTTTATGTCTAGTCATCCATCTATCCATGTGTTAAATCTATCTCATTTCAAAAATAAATTTCAAAAGGCTCAGCGCCCATAGCTCAGTGATTTGGGCACCAGCCACATACACCAATGCTGGCGGGTTTGAGCCTGGCCCAGGCCTACTAAGCAACAGTGACAACTACAACCAAAAAATAGCCAGGCATTGTGGCGGGTGCCTATAATGCCACAGCATTCTACCAAGGGCAACATAATGAGACTCTGTCTAAAAAAAATTTATTGGAGGCGATGCCTGTGACTCAGTGAGTAGGGCTCCGGCCCCATATACCGAGGGTGGCGGGTTCAAATCCGGCCCTGGCCAAACTGCAAAAAAAAATAGCTGAGTATTGTGGTGGGCCCTTGTAGTCTCAGCTACTTGGGAGGCTGCGGTAAGATGTGAGCTGCGATGCCACGGCACTCTACCAAGGGCAACAAAGTGAAACTCTATCTCTAAATAAAAAATAAATAAAAATAAAAAATAAGTTTATTTCAAGGCTTGGGGCCCATAATAGCTCAGTTATTAGGGCTCTGGCCACATACAGTGGGGCTGGCCAGTTCAAACCTGGCCCAGGTGGGCTAAACAATAATGACAACTACAACAAAAAAAATAGCCAGGTGTTGTGGCAGGCATCTGTAGTCTCAGCTACTTTGGAGGCTGAGGCAAGAGAATCACATAAGCCTAAGAGCTTGAGGTTGCTGTGGGCTGTGACACCATGGCACTCTATTGAGGGCAACATAATGAGACTCTGTCTCTAAATAAATAAATAAATAAATAATTAAAAAATAAAAATATATTTAAAGATACATCTGGCACAGTTTTTGAAGAGTTTCACAAAAGGTTTGTAAGCATTAAATGGTTCATTTGTTAACAGTAATTGCAAATTTTTTTTTTTCTGAAAAGATGGCACAGGGATATTTGACTTAAACTTCAGGATAATGGCGAACATGTACAAGTTTTTCTATTATTTTATAAGAGGAAAAAAATTAATAGGTGTTTAAGGGATTTCAGCTTACAAGGAGGTAATGACCAAAAAAATTCCTGGAATGACTGGTCAGGAAAAGCTTCTATGAGAATGTGTCTTCTTAGCTCCCTGAGTGATGAGGAAGTCTGTAAAGATGATTAGGAGTCGGGCATTCCAGATAGGGAACAGCTAGAGTGGAGATAGCCAGGAAGACTCTGTGTTAATGGAGGACTTGCTAATGAATTAGAAATGGTAGAATAAATTTGAATCTAGGCTTATGCTTTGTGTCTTAAACCTAGAAGCCTAAAAAGAAAGAAGTCTACTTGATCACTCATCATCATTACATTATCAGGCTTTATGACATTTTCCTGTCAGCTGTCTTATTTTCAGTACTCCTGTATCAAAACTTTCTTTTTCCAAATTTTTTGTAAAAAAGAAGGACCTTCAGTTTTTTATAAGAGGTTTTAGATGTCTTAATGATTCTCAACACATTTCTGGTTAAGCAAATTACTGTTTGCTTAAAATTGTTTTAGGGTCGGGTGCAGTGGCTCACACCTGTAACCCTACCACTTTGGAAGGCTGAGGTGGGAGGATCACTGGAGCTCAGAAGTTTGAGACCAGCCTGAGCAAAGAGTGAGACCATCTCTACTAAAAATAGAAAAAATGATCTTGTTATTGTAGCAGTGCCTGTAGTCCCAGCTACTCCAGAGGCTGAGGCAGGAGGATCTCTTGAACCCAGGAGTTTGAGGTTGCTATGAGGTACACTGACGCCATAACCCTCTAGCCTCGGGAACAGAGTGAGACTCTGCTCTAAATAAATAAATAAATTAATTAATTAAATAAAACAGAATTGTTTTTGACGATTTTATCATTTGGGTAAAAGCTATTCTACTTTCCAAATTATTTGTATCTCTCAGAGAAAATACTATCAAAATTGTTTTGTCAGGTGAATTAGTATTTCGTCATTTGTGTTACTCATATTTATCAGGCTGTGCTATTTCACAGTATTCTCACACGTCCTTTTAATTTATAGTTGTCACAGTATAATCTTTATTGTGTTAAATGAAGAAAATTGTTGTGGTAATTGGTAATCCATATTTACTGAGGGAATATTAAAAATCTCTTGACAATTTTGACTTTTATATGATAGAATTTTATAGACGAAAAGTTTTCTAATATAAATTAAAATTTTAGTTTTTAAAATTTTTCAGTGGAGGTTGTTTAACTTTCAGCAAGATTAATAACTGATGTACTTTATAAATATTTGAATTATATGTGTTTTTTCAGTGTCAAAGTTCGATCAGCTGCTGTTGCCTGTTTGAAAAACATTTTAGCCACAAAGACTGGACATCGTTTCTGGGAGATATATAAGATGACAACAGACCCCATGCTGACCTATATACAGCCTTTTAGAACATCAAGAAAAAAGGTCTTTTAAGTTGTAAATGTTTATTGAATTCCTACTGTGTCTAGAATAGTTCTGTTTGCTGTGTGCTATGAATATTAAATTGCTTTAAGTAGTATGATACTAAAATTTAACCTTAAAATAATTTAAACTGGGCTCGGCGCCTATAGCTCAACCGGCTAAGGCGCCAGCCACGTACACCTAAGGTGGCGGGTTCGAATCCCCAGCCCGGACCCGCCAAA